AGTACGCGCAAACGGCAGGGTGTGTATATAACAATGTGGAAGTGTTTGAATGACGTAGTAGAATGTAAAGCTACCCCACTGCAAGTGTACTAACGAACTGTTCTTTTGAGCAGAATTCCTCTGCTCTTACAATTATTGTGGTGATTTTAGGTCTAGTGGCTATGTGGCGTGAGCATGATCAGGATTGCCTGTTTGTGGAAATGTCGCTAAACGTTAGCGCAGGACCACACCACGTTACCGAGTGCATTCCTGTACCTTTCGAAGTAGGCGACACGGCGCCAATCTACTTCAAGGTTTGCAAACTTCTTTGTTACACATTTTCTCGAGATCATTGCTCTCGATAAACAGAGGCTTCCCTATGTCAACACCTCTCTTTCGAGTGCCTCTTTTTTTGAATAGTTGTCCTGAAAAGATGAAATGATATAGCACTGGCACTCATGTACTAATCGCAGCGAGGAATCTAGTTCATGAATTCTTCCCTAGCCTTTCAAGGCTAATTACCGCATTGGAATGCATGTATTTGCGACGGTTTGTCTTTAACAGATGATGAGAAAAAGGGAGAAGATAACAACGTATTATGTATAACGAGAAAGCATTAAAATATTGTTACTGGCTGAAATATGAATAATTTGGTAGAAAAGTACAAAAAAGCTGCCAGTAGTTTTTTTTTCAAAGTCGTTAGAAGGGCTCGTCATTTGAAGAGAATGGAATAAGGATAGGCCAGAAATAAAACTGGATTTGAAGTGTGAAGGATTCTCTTGAAGAAAACGCCAAGGCAAGCTATTGTTGCATTCTTTTCCTTATGAAGTGTCTATCCTCAATAGTGCAATTTATTCACCGTTCCGTCTCCAAGTAAAGACTCTTGTGACGTGATTCAAGTTGACAAGATCAGGAAGATGGATGGCAATAACAAAGTAACTGTTTTGTTTACGCTTTTTAAATCAGAAAGGGCTCCTCATAGGTAATCGCAGATGGAATGGCGAAAATTGAACGGAAGGGGTAAAATAAGAATGGTTAGATTCATACCGATATCCGAGTCACATTACTTGGGGTTGCAATTACCTCCCTGAAGGCATGCGATTCAGTTCGATGGCACAACAACTGTTACTCGAGAAGGAACCTGAAGTGGAAATTGTATGTGAAAGAATAACGCTCCTTGAAGATTTATCTCAACCAAGGTGTCGACCAGTCGGTCGAACTATCGTTTTTGCGGTTTGCAACACTTGGAATGAATGCTTTCTCCGCATTCCTCGCATTTCTCTCACAAGAGAAAACGACCTTCCCAAAACTCCTGCTCTCTAAGCTGCCCAAGAAAAAACGAAGCTGCGACAACACAAATTGAGCAGTATCGACGAAGGAAGGTATTCTTAGACATGACCTTTCGAATGAGATTGAGATCTTCGATTTGATTTGTTGATGTTATAAGCGAAAAATCACGTGTGCGTATTGTTTGCGATGCCAAATACAACTTTTCCCCTTCGAGGTGTGAAATGACAAGGTACCTGACATCGATGGGTGACTGCAAAGATTTACTCCATTCTGTGTTCCGCTTGAATCCTATTTGAGCTTGGTTCCGGAGGAATAATTCAAGAAAAAGAGATTTGGCCGCGTGCGCAGCCTTTCAAATATCTCTTTTTTTGTAGCAAAGATTGAACTCGATGACTGTTGGTATTTTTTAGGTGAGCTATGAAACGCTACGAAATATGAGCTATGAAATCTTTTTTATCCACTTTTCTCAATGAGATGGTACACTTTTCATCTGGGTTCTGTGGGCAACCAAAGATGAGTTCCAATGTCTCTCTCTCCACTTCTTTTTCCAAAGTAAGCACAACATAGGTCGACCTTGAGTGAGTCACACTCAATAAGAGAAATTCGGCCTTGTGGTCTAACAATATTCTAGCGACCTCAACAACCAAATGTGTCAATGTTAGTCGATCGTTTGTAAAGCAGCGCTCGCGATTAATGCGAGACATACCTTCGAGAGACGGGAGTGGGGATGCCCATGAGCCTGTTCTCTAGCTGGCCGAGACAGCCATAAAACAAATCCTATCCAATCATCAATCGTCTCTGTTCGGATGTCCTGGAGATCGAAATTACGTCACTCTACGATACATGAAACAAGTACGCGGTGGATGAACGACTCGCCTGGGAAAGTGATCATAAAGGAATGAAGAAAAAGTGCTCGGCGTCAATCAGAGATTGTGGACGTGCTTTGCAACTAGTGATAATTCGCTGACGGGTTCGCTGTATATGTATACTGAGCCATTACATTGGTTAGGCTACTCCATGTTGAGTTAATTTTTTCGCTGTGTGAGAGAAAAATTATTTATGTTCTTCTGAACAGAGGATTGGCACAATGCAAAAGCATTGGGTTGAGTTGGAATGGAAGAAGTGTTTTCATATCGTCGCGGAGCACGGTGTGACTTGGTACTATCATCGTGAAAGTGAATGAGCACTTTAATTGGATCTATTCTTTCTCCCATACAGGGACTTACCAAAATCACTTGCCTTACAAGTATGGCGTTTAAAGAATAGTGTGGTATATTTCGTACAAGCAAGTATGTCCCGGATATTTTGTAGTTAAAGAATGCTGTGGGCCGTTTGCTGAATACGTTCCAGTTTTTACCTTTCCAGCTTCATGATAAAAACAGACACGTTTATTTAGCTTTGTGATATTAGTAAAAACACCTAAAGTTGTTTGAATAAACTGCTGCTTATTGTTCTCTATCGGCACTAGCAGTGTAAGATGCCTGGTGAACAGTTCATAATTAATAGAAAATGTCGACATTTTAGGGAGGTGCTGTAGGTGCAAATGACGCGCAATCACACGGTCCCGCGATGGAATCCTAGATCGATGTCCACCCAGGGCCATTGAACCTTCTATACTTCGGATGAATTAATCGGTACCCCCATGAGAGATAAAACAACTGATTTTTCTAGCGACTGACTACCGCAGGTCATTGTGTCGGCCAAATACGCGTTCAATACGCCACTGCGACTTGAATGGAAATCGAATGAGGGGGTAGATCTCAAACGGGGTTTGATTATCGCTAGAAACTCCGTCCTTTTATTACAGACATTTTTTCTTTCTTGCTAATTTCGTAGATTTCATAAGTTTGAGCTTGCATAGCGGCCGCATTCTGTAACATTTTTTTCTACTTTTCTGGGACGCAGGTTTTACTAACATCTCTCCGCATCAACGAGCCGTTTCGTGGCCTACCAACTCGCGTCCTCAAAACCAAGAATTTAAGCAATGAAGCCACGTGGGGATTTTCAGCGTTCACCAGGTTCTTCTGTTCAATTTTGTGATAACTTCATTCAGAGAAACTGCATTTAAATGATCAAGCTCAAAGCTATTCAAGTTATGTATGAACTGATAAGATCATATCATATCAGTCGCAGTGAATCAGATTGCTGATGGTGTCATTATACAGTTTGTATTGCAAAATGGTTAGAGGATTCATTCTATTTCGAGAAAGCTTGTTCAGTAATGAAATTGACACTCAAATTCGCGGGGAAGAATCACCGACCAAACCCATTTATCTTGGTCGCAAAAATCCTTTCATGACCCTACACTTTTTGGAGATTCCATGATTCCTTAGTATACTGCATCTTCAATCCTTCCCATACTGTGCGCATTCCTTTTTCCGTTTAATAGGGATTATAGTCTTCCATTGAAAGGTGCATCTTGATACTGTTTTCTTTATTAAGTTCACCTAAAGTTCTCTGACGTGTCTCAATGCCTCCTAGGTGAACGTTCAAGGAGCTGCTGCGATAACCTTCAATACCGTGAAGTTTGAAGTGTTTCTTTCTTGTACTGTACTTTGTTTCATACTTTCTGATTTCTTGCGTCGATGTTTGTGTTTGGGTGAATTCTACGAATGCCTGACAAATTTGACAACCATAAGGAATGTGGTCGACCCTCTCTTCACAGTTGAAGTGGTCTCCGTCAAAGGCAACTACGTGACGATCGAAAATTGTCATGACCAAGGATACATCCTTTAGGAATGATAAGACCACTGACTGGATGTCAACAGACATGGAAGGCGACTAGTGCTGTTGATCATGGATCTTGTGGCGGTCCTAAACTGGATTTTGTTTACTCTGAAAGGTCCTACAGGTCTTTTCTGTGTAAACCGATTGATAGGAAAAGTTGAACAATCGCTCTTGCCTGTACGTTTATTCTTCGAAACGTCGGTCTTGTACGTAGGATTTAACGGTGGCCAAGTGATAGTGAAAGAGACTGCACTTTTATAAATCAGATCCCACTCCGAACAACAAGCCCTTCCATCTCTTCATCGTCCTCTGATTTGATCAAGGTCGAAAACTTGTTTGATTAGCACAGGTCGTGGGAAATGACTGCATGAGGCAAATTCACTTTCGAGCATCGTTAGAATTCTTATTTGCGATGGAATGTGATAAATAGCAATAATACGCGCTCCGCTGGATCCCCTCTTGTTTGTCCAGTAACCACTACACCATGTAAGGGAAGCCTATAAATTTTTTAGGTTTCTTTCTTACTGTGCTATTGAGGTATCCGCCCAGAACGATCTAGGAGGATCACAATGGATTGGGTTGTTGATGGAGCCGTAGTGTTCACAATGAGTAGAGTTCTCGCGTAAATCGACTGAGGATCGACTGAGTGAAATGGCAAGAATTGATTATGCGACTCGTGAATTTACTTCCGAAACTGCTTCAAGTACTCAAAATTCGGTTGGTTATTACCAGGCTTCCCTAGAGACATTTACGACTGTAAATAGTGGTCAAATAAGATGCAGAGTTCGGCGTCACTAATGAAAAGCGCCTTCTATGATGTTCCAGTCGGCTATCTTCTGCAGAGGCGTCGGTTGTTTCGCCAAGCTGGTTTCTTCTTTTGTAGTCTTACCCCAGAAAGTGGTCTTTAGTAATCTTTAGTATCCGGTCGCTTTCGTTTGGTATTCGGGAGGAGCGTATAAGCGATTGCAAGTGAAATTTAAGTTCAGTTTTCTTTCATCACATGGCTAATCCGTTTTCTCGTTAATGGACTGATAGTCGTTCTCTTCGGTGAGAAATGTTAGGATGGCAAAAGTGACACACCCATTAGCAGACACAAAAAGTGATGGCACGGTATTGTTGAATGTGATCACACGGAGTGCTTTCATTGAGTCACCTCCTAGAAAAACCCTCACAAGTTCTGGGTTTTCCTTAATGATAACGACGGTACCGGGAATATAGCAATTCTCTTCGCCACTCTCTGTCGACCATGGTGACCTCGCAACGCTTTTGGAGCGACCATTGTTTTTGTCCACATTCCATGCATTGCGACGCCGCTTGACCTCTTGTTTTCGATGTTGACACATGACACCCGTTGAACAAGACAGTAATCGGGGACAGCAAACCAGATTCCAATGTAGTGATTCGATACGGAAAGTTAAGAAAAACCTCTTCAAAGTGTTCTAGATCATGTCTACGATAAAGGACAAACAGCCTGTTTTGAGAATTAAAGAACATGATCAGTACCGTAATAGTTCAGGTCCTAAATGTTGGATCTTGCACGTGTGGGAAGAGTACTTCCACATCTAGGCACTAAAGACTAGATAGTCTGTTTCTCTCATAAGTTCCACTAGCTTATGCGTAGGTCGAGCGGAAAATGACGGAGGAGGACCGAATGCTGTCAAAGAAGTCGATGACGAAGCGAGAGGTGTGCGTAACGTCTTCCTTACTTAGGCTTCTAATGATCACTTGCTGAGGACTACTCTACCTATGGTAGCAACAGCTCTTCTCACAGCATCTCAAAGCGAGAATTGCCACTTTCACGATTTGGCACCGTTGGAGGAGACGAATCTGATCTTGCTCCAATTCGAATTACTCATGATTGAAGTTGCAGAACACTTTTTGTGCTTTACTTTTCACTAGAATTGGAGGGGTTTATCATGATTAGTAGCGTACATCTTCACAATTCGCTTTTAGGCCAAAAAGTATTTAGGTTAATTTCGGACGTCAAGAATTTTCCATGATGGTTATACTATTCTTGCTTTTTTGGGGGTAAGTGGCATGAAAGATTCTCCAACATGACTACTAGTGATCATTCCCTAGCTCTATCTTTTCTGTAATTATGTTGATAAAAACTTTCAAGAAGGCGTGATATGAAGGTGTGATAAGCCTGCCAATGAAGCCTTGGACTCGAATGTCATATACTGGAAGGTTTAGTTCCGACACGGGCTGATAAGAACGAGTTGCAACTCTCGCATTCGACTACGAAGACATTAGTCGACGCAATATTTTGCCGATGTTTCTAACTTTTTGTGAGGCGATCTCGATAAGTTCAATTTATATTTTAAAAATGGAAATCACAATCTGTAAGCTGAGTGCATACTACCGAAGCAGTTGATTGCTTTTCTTTCCACTGCGCGGAGCGCACATTCAGGTAGTATTAGGTTGAGTCATAAGCCCTCTTACAATGTCGAAGGATGAGTTCTAGAGATCATAACTCGGGAAAGAGGTGACGAAAATGGACGCGAGAGGCATCGTTCGATAGAGTATAAAAAGCTCTTCCAAATACATACTAACGAGTACACCTGACCATCTCCTGCGCTTGAGCGTGGGGAGAGAAAGTGCCGTTTCGGCGCGAAAATCCATGTCATACTGCTCCAAAGCATGAGGCACCCATCGACCGAGCTTTCGCACCTTGCCGATTGACTTCAATCCACGAATGATTGTGGACTGACTCCTCAAGGGTGGCTGCCAGTTCACGAGTAGTTTGATACGGATCGGCTTCCACCTGGCTCAGGAGCACCTCCAAATCCAACTCCATTGAGTCCCGGACGGTCTTCATTTTCGATGGAATGGTCGTCCGACGTGAACTTCGTGTGCCACTTTTGAATTGTGCNGACTGACTCCTCAAGGGTGGCTGCCAGTTCACGAGTAGTTTGATACGGATCGGCTTCCACCTGGCTCAGGAGCACCTCCAAATCCAACTCCATTGAGTCCCGGACGGTCTTCATTTTCGATGGAATGGTCGTCCGACGTGAACTTCGTGTGCCACTTTTGAATTGTGCTTCCAGCAGGTGCACCCTTCCTGTAAATTTCCTTGATGCGCCTATCGATCTCCGCGGGATCTTAGCCAGATAAAATAAGAAATAGGATGGTGTTGCGGAGGTGAAGTTGCGACGGCTTGAACTCATGGGGCATGGTTGCAGGAAAGGAGACAGTTAGGTGTGTTCGTTAGTATGTATTTGGAAGAGCTTTTCATACTCTATCTAACAATTTTCGTCTCTCTTTCCCCAGTTATGATCTCTAGAAGTCATCGCTATCATTTTGTGCGCGGACTTATGACTCAACCTAATAAAATCTTAATACTTTCCCTTCGAGCTTTAACGACTCGTCCTCACACATGCGAGATCTCAAGCGCCACAACTGCTGGCAATAAAATACTACTTGAAGTTCCTACTCAATAGATAAGGATGCTTTAAGAGCTCTACAACAACTTCACGACCAGAATCTAGCCATTCTATAAAGAAGTCATCATCAACGTGAAGGGGAGGGTTTGTCACGGCGATACCATCTCGCCTAAACTTTTCAGTGCCGCTTTCAAGAACATCGTGCGTCATATGGAATGGGAAAGTATGGGAGTGAAGGTCGGCGACCGTTACATCATCTCTGCTTTGCAGACGACATCGTGCTCATAATGCTCATAACACCGAACATCGAGCAGGTGGATAGAATGCTGGTTTGTCTCCACCACGCTTGTGGAAAGATTGGCTTGCGACTGAACAGAACGGAGACGTTGTTCGTGAGAACAAAAACGGAGAAACAGATCTGATGCTATCTGATGCTCCTTCTACTACGCACGGGACGAAAACCTCTGGATGCGTTAGCTGCGTGAATCTACGCCGAGAAGTTATTATGACGAGCGCCATCAGCACCGGAACTAAGCAGAAGGAAACGCGCAGCGATGAAGGCATCAAGAATATGGAGGGAGTAGTGAGAACACAAAGAGCACTGGCCCCCGCGCTCACCTCTTCGACACTGCAGTCCTTCCTGCCTTAACATACGCCGTCAGGTCGATGCCCCGTCGACGAGCGAAGATCAAGGATGCCGTTGCTGCACCAAGGAGTTGAAGATCAGGTGAGCCGGGCTCATGGGATATAGTGATGACCACAGCGGTTACTTACTGGATCCCACGGAACATTAACCAACCCCGGGACGGCCGCTCGGGCGATGATCGGACTTCTTTACAAATGCTCTAGGCAATATTATCCGGGCCCTAGAGGATGATCCACTGGGCTAGGATATAGTTCGCGATAGGGACAAATGAGATCGTTAATGGCGCTTCTCGAGGGAATCGATGATCAAGTGGGCAACAGGTGATATAGGTGATACAGGTGTAATCGATTACTTCACTAAGTGGGGATCGGAAGTTGTATTGCATGAAGACATAGTATGTATAGGGCCACCTAGCTTTTTACGAAAATTTTATGTAATGTCAGGGGTTTCGCAGCTACACATGCCCTCATGCCCTCACCCTTGCAAACCACTGTGGAGAGGAGAAAAAGCCAAGTTCTTTCGGATACATCAGCAGTGACTTTAGAGTGGTTCTATCCGGTCTACCTCATTTGAACTTCTTCTCATCAGATTAGTTACCTTAGGAAAAAAATGAAGTTCTGGCTTCATCGTTGTGAATCGAGGAGGAGCAGCTCATCTCTGTGAATTCAGTCAGCAGTGGTGCTTCTAGAGAGTCATATGAGCCAATATTTTTAGAGGGCGAGTCCCATTTGCAAGCGAAAATGCGTGGTTTGCAGCTTATTCCCTGACAGCTCTTGTGGAGTTTTATGCCACTATGACGTACGCCTGTTGTTCGCGTTCGAAAACGGCTGATTTTTATTTCTGTTTCCTCTATTTCTTGGAAGCAGTTGCGAATGCAATCCTAGGAATTTCGGGTTCCTAGGAGATTCGGAGCTATTTCTAGCCATGCGACGGTCAATTCTTGCCGGTGTGCGTCCGTTACGTTCGAAGAAAGCGCGTGATTGTTCATCCTTATCATAGTTGGATTTGAGGAGGACCGAAGTTTTCGTCCCTCTTTTATGCACCAGTTTGGAGAGAAAAGTATGTAGTCTTCAGCAATACAGTAGCGGCCAAAAGTCTTCGGTGAAACGTTTTTCCAATTGTAACCTTTTTCCTACTTCATAAAGTCGTACGAAATTTTAATGTTAATCAAAGACATGAATACTTACCACTATTGAATTGCAATTTGCTATTGTTCACGATACGTTAGTGAGATTTAACTCAAGTTCAGTGGGGAATACAGATAGCATCGACCTAATAAAAACCGCTTTATTTCGGAATAGCAGCATGTAAAACATCAAAAACATCGATACCTGTTAGAAAAGCCTCGGCTTCGATTATAGCATCGCAATTGAAAGGCATCGGGTCGATTACTTATTTGGATGGTAGACTCTGGCATGACGTTCCCTCTTTCGCTTAGTAAGCGAATTTTTCTTCACTTTTTTCACAAAGTTTGCTCGAAAAACGCCTTTTGAGCTTTCTCCACATGTGCTCTATAGAAATTAGATCCGATGACTGGCTTGACCTCTCCAGAAGAATGGTTAGTTGTTCGCTAGAGGCCGCCTTGACAACTATTGAGAAGTGTTTCGGATCGTTACCATGCTGCAGGATCTATCCTGCTGGCATGTGATGCTGTGCCCTCGGCATGACGATGTCGACTGTCATGTTCCTGTAATACTCCTATACAATGTCAGCCGCATTGAGGCGAGAGTCAGCTCTCCATCGAAGTGTGATCCGTCTGCCCTGAGCTGATAAAGTACATCGGAGTCTCCACCTTCTCCAAGCATCGCGAACAGGGTTCTGACCTGCTAGCATGGGATAATCAAAGACATCTGCCAGCCGAACTCTCTGAGTGGCTACTGTCGCTTCACCGCTACTGTATTTCCTTTTCTGAAATGCTTCTCTGCTTCTCCACATTCAACTTTCATTCCAAAAGGTAGAAGGCAGTGCTTTTGGCTTCCCAGACGAGTCTGGTACCAATTGACCGAAGGGATGGAAGATTTGGTTGGCTTGCGCAAGGATCGGTTCGAGATTAGATCCACTGACCACGAGGTGTGATTTCACGCGACTTGCTTCTACACCACATTCCTCCAATTTGAAAAGTGTTAAATGGTGAAAGCTGTAGGTCAAGTGTGTATCTAATTAAAATGCTCTGCCTGTGTGCGTTTCTCTCTCGCGAAATTAGCTGCTATCTGAGGAAGCAACTGACTGTATGAAGTTTTCATGAGTGTATCATAGGCGAAGAGGGACTGGTCAAAATGTAAAAAGTCTTCAACTGGTTTCCAAAGCAACCCAGATAACGGAAACAAGGGGTTGGGTTTCAGTGAGTTGCTAGATAATATAAGAGGTAGCTCAGTTGCGGTAGGTGCAGCATTTCCTGAATAGGAGAAACTCCCCACATAACCTCATAAATCGATCTTTCGGTCTTATGAAATCAAAGCTCCCAATCATGTTCAAAAAATTACATAGTCTAAGAGAGAAAGGACGCAAGTATGCGACGTGGTACGCTACGTGGGACCAAATAACAAGCCAAAATCCGCGACAGTGCTCTAGATCCCCCATAGTTTGTGCAGAACGGGTTAATTACTCGTAGACGGAGTGAAGGCGAAGACTTATAGTAAGTGGTGCTACGCTAAGGTGAGCGCGGCTAGAGAACGAGATTAGCAGCTCCTCTCAAAGTAGTCTCAAGAAGAAGTAGATGGAGTTATTGAAGGAAGAGAAGTTAAAAGTTTACGTTAGGCGCGCCAAAGGCAGAGGTAGGCAGGGATGATATCAAAAGCGTAATCTCACCATCATTCCCACAATATATCAGAGGTCGGAGAGGTTCGAATAAAATTAAGCAATGGAGGAGGTTCACCTACATGCACGCATCCAAAGTTCCAGAAGACTTCTCTTTCGCCGCTTTTCTCCGTCGGTTGAACTCTGACATGAGGGCGCAAAACGTAAGCCATAATCCGTGGCAAGCCTTTTTGACGGAAATGGGAAGAGTAAGGTAGCAAAAATGATTGTTGTTTAGCAGTCTCGACACAAGATTGATTCCCCGTAATAAAACCCGAAAACTGAAATCCTCCGTCTGAGGTGATAGTTCAGAAAAGTTCTTCCTAGAATGCTCAAAAAAGGGTAGTCTCTCCTACAGCGAAGCACACCGTAACAAATAAAAATTTCTAGTGTTGAAACTCCGAAGGTTGCTAGCGAGAAGCTGAATCCTATGAAATGGCAAAGAGCCGCGTAGCTCAGAAACGCTCTTATCAATTTCGTGTCCGTTCTTCCTTCCGCGTCCGGTGTAGGTGTGAAGAGCTGCATCACCACGATCTTCCGATCAAGAGCGTCACGTTGACGCTTATGTTATGCTAGAGCACTTATGTTTGCGTCTTTATAGAGTCGCTGCGTTATTCGAAAAACCGCAGCCTCTTATTGGAGGGGTCTTCTTTTTACACGACAACGCGCGCCAACATGTCACAAGGAAACACTGAGGGCAATGCGCTGATTTGGCTTCGTAGTTCTCCTTCGTCCATTATTTTTTACTGATCTCGCAGCAACCGATTATCACTTCGCTCACTTGCTCATTTCCTGCAGAACAAGAGCCACAATGTTCTCAAGCACTTCGGAATAGGCCTTCAGTCGTTCTTCGCGTCAAAACAGCAGCCTTTTAGCAAAGGTATCGTACACTGTTGTCGATCGATGGAAGACGCTCTAAGTGTTGTGGTAGATATTGCACTTGACGAAGATGGATGTGGTGAAAGTTGTGTAATTTTGAATATCGATATTAGAAACAGACATTACTTATGCTCAACCTGACATATTGGCGACAGTTCTTCCGAAGACGATCATTCGCAGACAGTTTGTTCGAGATCAACCGGGCCAGAATTGCAGTAAAATGCATGTTCTTCAAAACGTTTGGAGTGCCCCAAACTGTTAATTCTGGAATCTCGTGGACGAATTGGATGTAGTTCAAAAGGAATGGAAGGTGACTCCGCCATGAGCCCTCAGACAGGCATGCGGTATATGTGTGGACGCATACCTGACGGAGGGAGAGAATGTTGCTTCGAAGAAGGAGAGATGAACATCTGATTCATTTTTTGCTATTAAATTACGACCTTTACCCAGCAAGGTTTGTGGCGGTTTGTGTCTGGTTTCTAGTATAAAACTCACAAAAAAANAAAAAAACCATACGAACATGAGTGCATGTGTTTTCAGACACTAGTATCAAATTTACATTCTAAATTCGCAAAACATAGGAACAAAGTCGGGATCATTCCTTCCGTGTTATATGAGGGCTCGTTGAGCATCTTATCATGTCAAGTCACTGTGACGATTGTGAAGCGAGGACGCAACTATTAAGATGCTGGACTACCATGCGTGGTATAAGAATTTATACACGCACCTACACATGTAATACAAACATGAACACATACTTTGCATACACATACTTTGCATACTACACACACAAACAGGCGCCTCTACATACCTCTACATAGACACAGCTGGCAAGTTGCATGTGTTATGAGGGCTCGCCAATCGGACTTGCTCAGACTCCGAAAGCCCTAAAAAGGGAATTGTGCCTAGCCGCTGCAGTCTTATACTATTTGAAGAATGTTGAATGGTTAGCTCATGTCGAAGAGGCCGTAAAATTTCAAACTCACCAACGACTTTGTTGTGAGGATGTTGTCGTTTGTGCTCATGTTATCATTTATGAAAATTGTTCCAGAAAGCGATACTGGAATGTGAAGAGGAGTATGCTGACAACAAAAAACTAATTGAGATTAAGGATCTCAGGCGACAGATACCGAAACATTTCAGGTGATTTTTGGTATCGGTATTTTTATGTACCTCACATTCTGCTAAAAATGATGTTCTTTCAGTTATTTTGCTGTCGATTTTGGTCTTAGTAATGGATATGCGCATGTTATCGAGCGTAATGAGAGCTTTCCGTCTTCATTTGTCCATGTGAGTCCGAAAAGTTGTCGCAATCTAATGCTCTATGCAGACGTTCATCACCTTTTGCAGTTTCTTCGAATTTATTCGAAAATTTCAAATTTTTGAGAAATTTTCAGTTTCTGTTGAAACACCATTATGTTGCCTAAAGCTCATGCCAATTTCGCACTTAGTTGATTCAAGGGTAATTTGAAAAAAGTACATCATAGAAAATAGCAATGTAATAATTGCACCATCGCTATCAACAACTTGTTGCCAACGATAAGGCGGAGTGTGGATGCCTCGCCTCTAAAAGTCCTGAGGCTTTCTGAGCATTTTCGGAAAATGTATTCCTTGCCCGCAAGAGTGGGAAGGAGCTAGATTACAGCTACGTGGAGAATGCGGTAGAATTCCCCAACAGTCTCGATATCTCGAGCGGTGTTGTATCCGGGGCATGTTGACTTGCAAGGGAGCGAGTCGTTTTTCCAGATTCACTTCGACCGGAGAGTGCGGCCGATCCAATCCAATGTGCAAGAACTTTTGAAACAATCTTATAAAAGAAGGAGGGAGAGAAAGTGGCTTTTTCCAACCTTTTTCATAACGAACCACTTTCCGCTCTATTTAGCGTCAGCCCTTGAGCCGAGCTTATGTGCAGGCAAATTTAAGGCATAGACAACAATACAATGAAAACCTTTCCACTCATATCGTCTAATGTATCTTGAGGTAGTTGCTGCGTATTCGTACATTTTGGATTCACACATAGGAGAGGCTAAGAGGGCACGCTTTGTGCTTCGAAAATTTCAATCAATGAGCAGGAATTTTTTATTTATTTCGGTGGACCTGATAACGGCTTTTTAATCACCGATTTTATAGGAAATAATCGCTGGGATGATGGATCTACCACCTGATAAATGGCGAAAGAAAAAGCTGCAAAGCTTCAAAGAAGTGAAAGCCAAGTGTGATTCCATGAAAGCAGCTTGGGAGCCTTACGATTGGACGAAGAAGATCAATAGGGATAGTCGGTAACTCCTAAGGAAGGCTGCTGAATGCTCCAACGTTCCTTCGATTCCTCTGATGCTCCGAAGCTCTACCTCTCTTCAATAGATTGCATTGAATTCGTTGAGCGTCACTGTCTTAAGTACTTTGCACAACTTAACGTTAACGATTCAATGTAACAGTCGGCTCATGCTGGTAATGCAGAGTGCTTCGAACAATTTTCCTCCGGAAGCTGAATTCGTTTATCATCTCTCAACCGGCACACTAGTTATGCTTTTGAATTTGCTGACTCTCTGACGGAAATGTTGGGCTAATGCTGACAAGCGGGTTGTGAGTCAACCAAGTGATGTGGAACTCGCCGTTCTTTTCGATTTTTGTCCATCCCAATCCATCCCAATTCATTACCAGTAAGATCACCCAGCTTGTGTCGTACTCCACTCCTTCCACTTACAAAGTCGGAATGCAATTTTTCGAGTGGGAATCCCTAAGTTATGCATTCACTACAGATTGGACACGGTGCGCATACCATTACAGCTTCAGCTTATCTTAACAGTGACCAACCGGCAAGAATTAATCGTTCATTTCATTGGATCTACTGATGCACCGATTCTTTTGCAATCAAGCAAGCTTGTTACCAATCATGGCCCTGATTCCTAGCAATGTCCGATAATAGTAACAACGTATTAGAACTCCACATTCATAGCTTTTATTTTCATGTATGTAAATCATCGGCAGTAATCCTCAAGTCATTGACGCTTGAGATAAGTCTTGTGGCGGTCGATAAAGGATCAAAGAGAACTCGGGGTCCTTGCTGAGCCGCAAATCTTGAAGTGTCGTAATCCAATAGCAATGTTCGAAGCGAACTTCGTGCTCCTTATATTGGTAGTGACCTTGTTCTGCTCTTATCACTGCAGTTCTTACTGATTGTTCGCCAGTATTTGAAGCATATTAAAATCTTAGGAATACGTCGCGTGTACCAAAGCGGTCAGAAACTAAAAAGCTTGCAAGGGCCTTCCAAATTTTTGGTCATCAATTTCTGTAATTCTCTATCCGCAGCTCGGTCGCCCGCTTGAGTAGCAATGCTCCACCATCATACCAAAACAGGAAAAGACTTAAAGACAAATATGAGCTCTTATCAGTTGTCATTAGTACTTTTCTGCAACCATCCACGTTCCCAACAAATACCATTTCACTTTTGGAAGTGTCAACTTTTCATTGTTTGATCTGAAACGCACTCAACAGCTCTTGCCTTCTGTCGTTCCTTATCCTGCCACAGGATGTCTTCAGGGTCCTTACACCCTTTATCACCTACCATAGTGCCACGGTTCTACCGTTAACAAAAGGATGTAACGGATCCCATGGCTCTTCCCTTTTGAGGCATCTTTCATTCGTTACCATTTGCTATCATTGCCTATCACCTATTGTCAATCCTGCTGCCTTCATTCCGCCTCAAGCGCTCTAGTTCACTGGGACGGAAGGGCGTTTTCGGTCACACTCCCACAGCAGTATATGCTCCAACATCCGCGTCCGTGTTTTATTCGTGCGCAATTTGTGCGTGCTACGTGGATATCTTTCTTACGCGACCAATATACTCGAGAATCCCTCAAGCACTAACTAATAGATAAGAAACGTTTATCTAATGTTAGTGACGCGGTTACGTACAGGAGATAAGGGAACAATCCAAATAGTAGAGAATAAATGAGGACGGCGAAGAAGACGATCGATTGAGGAATGAATGTTCTCACGTTCCCGCACTCTTTTTGAATAGCATCGTTTCCCGCGCGATCATGGTGCCGTGATCTTACGCGCCGGAACAGTAGGGCGGCTTGCCGTCCCGCAGTTGCCCTCAATAGCCGCAAGGGTAACCATGGCGCAGTGGAAGCGTTCTCTACCTTCAGACAGTCGAAGTTTATTGTATAACGGAACTCCTTCCCGATTTCCCACGTCCTGCAGCAATGGTTCCGCGGCGACTCAACGCATCCTTCCATCGGAAATTCATATCTTCCCCTTCAGGGCGCGCGATCGCGTGCGGCGAGCGCGACACGCCGTTCGGGGAAGAAATGCCAGACCCAGGTGGATTTGCTTCCTATTGCTAATTTTTGCAAAATGCGCTTTCTTTCAATTAAATGTCTTATACCATTTTTTGCAGCTAACTCAACGATTGCAGTGTGTTGGATTCAAGTTGCAGTGTGTCCCAATTTAGTAGCCCTAGCCAGTGCCTTTAATGAGAGAGCCTCTACCCCATCTACTCATCCTTTTTACATCGTACAAGACTTCATCGCGCCTTCTAGACAATTAGTCCCGTAAGCTTCAATATGTTATTTAGTTGTAGCGAACCATCACTCATCTGTACTCAGGAGAGTCACGAAAATTTTTGTTTTCTCGCTTCCGCTTCATGACAAGGATCAGTCTGTCGTACATACACGGTAGCCACAGAGTCGTTCTAGGCATGAGAAGACTTTTATACACTGACATGCCGCAAGAAAGTTTTCAAATGGAGCTTCGTCCTTACAAGTATCAAAGGGGTACGCCTGCCTCATATTCGGTGATGGCAGAGTTTTTATCACACCTGGAGCGTAAAGCAGCTGGCTCAGGACCACACTCTAGCCCCAACCCCTTTTTCCAGACTTCGTGCTGATACGACACATTTTAGACCGATCCGTTTTGATATTTCACGGCCTTATCTGGTAATTATGATATAAAAGTTCCTTGCAGATTTAGAGTGCGGTGATCGCAAGGCAAGGCAAACTCACCTCTCTCGCCTGAAGGTGGAGAGCACTGCCACTCTGCCACTGCGGCCCTTGCAGTCGAGGCGGATGCGCATTCCAATTGGCACTACCTCTCCATGCATTGAGCAAGCAAACTCTGAGGGCTCATACCTTTTTTGGTAGACTCATTTAGCAGTTTTAATATCTAAATATGTAAAATAGTATTTATTAGAAACTCTATCGATATTCCTAGATTTCCATCCAAAATTCCATGGGAAGTTGAGACCTTTTCCTGGTAAAAAAACAATCACTCTGTGCTTACTGTCTACCCATAATTGTTTGTTTCATGAAAGAATATGAAAATTTGCAGTATGTCTCGTTGGCGACGTCGGCGAGTATTGATCCGCAATCGCCCAGCCAAGATAAATTGTTACATCCCGTGAGTTACCAGGGGAAAATGCTCCTGTTGTCAAATTGTGAGCGTGAAAGTGGGAATGGATTATGACGTAACCAACATATTCGAAAATCGGGTTGCGCCATGTTAGGGAGAGCCTTTATTGCTGCTGTTCCTGCGTATAAATCGCGAATTTGGATATAAAAACTACTGTTGGCAAGGGTTTTTCAAAGCAATTCGAAATTCCACTTATTGACAATAGCATCACGGTCTCATGATTCGTTTAGTTTTTCCCTGCATTCCCGCTGCGCATCATTCCACGCTGTGCGGTGATCGATGTACGGTTTTTCTTGCATAATGCCAGGACTGAGGCTCACATTTTCAAAGTTACACATTTTGCGATAACTATATTTACGTTTACTGGGTTATAGTGTTCGTACAAAGTCGTATACCGACGGCGAAAAAAAACGAAATCAGCAGGAATTTGTTTGTTCAACTGATTTAGGGTTGAAGTTGTTCATTTCAAGGATCTAATGAGGTCATGGCGATAAGCAAAGAGATTTGGATGAGATTGCGCGTGCTGCAGAACCACGGGTCTTAGTGACTCGCGTTTACTAGCTGCTTGTGGTTACAACAAACGTCCTTTAAGGCACAGTTCACGATGAAAATGGTCCCTGAGATCTCCCCATAGTATGAATTCGAGGCTCCCCCTTACACAATATCTGCCGTTATAAGGTCGAAAAACGTCATGGATAGGGCACGATAAGGGGCCAGAGATTGAGAACGTGTGAATGCACACCCATCGTAGACGAGTTTCAACGGCTTTGTAGAGGCTGCACTATCTTAAGAGACTCCCATGTAGGATGTTCAAACAAAACTCTCATAACCCATGGTCACAGTGAAAGGCAGTTTCGGGCAACTTCGGCTTGATGTAGTCATCTCTTCGAGCCATGGGAGCAAGTTAAGTCTCGCCCAAACACCCTTTACATGCCATTACCGTTATGGTAATCTCGTACACCTCCCTTTCCCTACTTTTGAGAAGCCTTGAAGTAGGCAGATTTTTTCGCTTTCTTCGCCACCGATGTACTCCTCTACATCAACCCTTCCTTTTTTCTACCTAAAAAGGTATCTCCAAACAGTTGTAACACATACAATGCTGCCTCTACAACGACGGTGAAGCAACGGTCTCTTTTAAGAACAATAACACGTAGTGGGCTTCAGATATCTGAACACTTATTACTTCATCTAGGTCAGCATTTGACAATACGACGTAACAGATAGGCTTCTCAGAGTTTACTACCACAGGTTCCTACAAATGATTATCTCCGAAACTAGTCTTGTCGCAAACTTAGCCTTTGCGTCATTCCAACTTATTTGTCCTGGTCCCTATTTATCAGCCGATTACGTTGATTCTTCGAAAGCAGCTACACACTTCCTTGAAGAGCGCTAGCTTACTTTTGTAAGTTGTTTAGTTGATTTCTATTTTCTATAGTTACTTATTTACTTGGTTACTTTTATCATCTAGTTCTATGGGGAATTTTCTCGCTAGAACAAGCCAAACTCTGAATTTGATGAAGGGATAACTTTTGTAGGACAGAGCGAAACTGAAGTGGGAATTGAGAGCGCTCCGACAGATGTCAGTTTCATAATGTCAGTAACTCAAGAGATGAAGGAACTAGAGTTAGGATAGGAGTGGGATAAGGGGATTGTAGACAAGTTGACAGCAGTAGGACACTGGGTAGAGCGACTAGATGATAAACTATTGCTCGAGAGTCCAGTTACATTCTTTCGTGGCGGAATCACTGCATTTCTCTGAAGACTTGGGGTTATGAGTAGGAGGGAAATGTCGTCGATATACTACTTCGTCGTATTCTTCCGTGATTTTTCCAACTTTTCATGGTTGGTCGGTCGAGTCGCTCGAGTGACAGCAGGCTCTCCTTTTTGCGTCAAAGTTACTCTGCAGCCTGTATCTCTTCCAAAATTGAACGCCATAGGTCTGAGGGGAGAAATTTAGCACCTCCTGTAGACGGAGTCCAGTACTGTCACCTACCATCGAGTGTTACGATCCCATAGCCTACTCTCCTACAAATTAAAACGTCTCCACTTAATGGGAGTTGGCGTTATGATCTGGCGGTCAAACAATCAATATGTTGTGTTTGACAACAGCAATAGAGATTGCAAAATCATTGAAGAAAAATGCTCAAAATTACGGGAGCGCGAGAAAAATTTCAGAATTCGGTGTCCTGTTCACTTGCCTTCAAAAATTCACGACTGTTCCCATCATGGATTCTATCTACTTTTTCTCGAACGCTGGACATTTTTCTAAGCCCGAATCTAGAGCTTTCATTCAAGTTGGTCCTATTTTCGTGCCCAGCCACCCTGCCATGGCTAGTTGCGGTCCCGGGCTTTTTCGGCCTCTACCCAATTCTTTGACCTCTGCTCTTGGGTTTTTGATCCTGGACGTGGATTTTTTTAAGGGTCCCCTTCTTTCTTAATCTCACCTGTCTGCTTATTTTAACTCGTTGAGCGCTTTTTTAGCGCACGATCCGCTTTTGCGGGGAGAGCCCAGCCCAAGTCATGCGTGATTGAGCGCCTTCGCTCACTTCCTATCCATTCAGACTTTGTTAAGTGGTTTTGCTCGGGTAATGCTCATTTGCGCGTGCCCCGCCCTTCAGGAGTCGAGTCCTGCTACCTACCATCAATGCTCCCGTCCTGTCGCCCTTTACTCTTACCGGATTTGAAGGTCCAAGGGAAAAGGAGTTGTGAATTTCCGGTCAAACACAGGTCGATACACACTTAAACAGATTTAAATATTAAACAACTAATAAGCTAAACTTGCTCGTCATAAATAGCAGGAATGTAATTCGAAAATGAAAAGACCAAGGGGGCGTAGGCATATACATACCAGACAGCCAGCCAACTTTTCAGCTCGTACGACATCAACTTCAGTGTGTGTAGTTTAGCGTTGTAGAGTAGAAGGACTCAACCTGCTCCCCACATATATGGACGATAGGGGGCATGAGACTTTGTATTTTACGAACAGAGGACTGAGCGTTCATAACTGGTAAACTGCCTTGCACGCCTGAACCACCATCAGAAGAGAAGCACTTCTGGTGCAGTTTAAGTTTGGTGGCCTGCTGAGATTTCAAAGTCTGATCTTTCCGCTGTCTTCTCCACATGAGTTCTTGTGCAGTACCCACACTTCATCTCCAATCGTGAGGTTACTGGGAAAGTTAAAGGCAAATCACACAAAAAAAAGTTTTCCGAAATTTACAATCGAGATGAGGCGGTGGCCTCCGAGTATGTCACTTGCGGCGTTGTCTGATAAAAAACATGGTCAGGATAGGGCCAATCAGAACAAAAGCTGGCTTCATCGATGTCCACACCTAAAAGTAGGCTAGCTCTTTACGCAGCTGCAACAACTGAACACTGCTAAATATCTCTGATACGCCATCTCCATCACAGTAACCTTTTCGTTTTTTTTTCACCACCAAACACCCGCTTTTCGATAGAAAGATTGCCTCGAATAATGGCGAACTGTACTTTTGAGTGTTTGTCGTGAAGAGACATGTAGTCGTCCTTTCTTTTCACGTCGGAATGTGAAGTACCCACCTTTCGACCACAACCTATGCACAGAAAGTGAGTTAGCGACTCAACAGTCTTTACCTCCCACTACTGCGTCAGCACCTAAATAGTGCATTATTCGGTCCCCTCGCAAAAGTGAAATGAGGCCGCCTTCTAGCAAACTCATTCTGTACGGACGGGTTTGTCTTCACTGATTTCTTTAGTTTTTATATGTTTATGATTACCTGACCGCTCTGAAGATTCGCCATTCTTCTGCTCACAAACCACACCTGCCTTCGCATTCTACTGTTGATACATTCGCCATATATTAGGTGTGTGCATTAATCTCCGCCGTTTTTCGCGTGCAAATACATACTTATTACAAAACTAAAACTAAATGTACATCAACCAAGGTATTGCCCATCGTTAGCTGCAACTTCTTGCCATCTTTCTGGTATCTTGTTGACTCCGGGTCTAAAAAAGTCTTCATCTTTTGGGGCAATCTTGTTATCCACCCATTTTCGCACTTCTTCGGCTTTCCGGAAGCGTATATCTGCCAAACTGACTTGCATGGATCGGAATAGGTGGTCATCAGAAAGAGCAAGATCCGGGGAGTATGCGGGCTGAATAAGCTGATCCCATACAACAACTGCAATTTTTTTAGGACATTCGTCGCAACATGAGGTCCGGCATGTTCGTGGTGGAACAGCATCTCGTGATATTTTCTTGCGTTTAACGGTCGCTTGTATGTGAGAGCATCCTACAAACTGTCAAGTTGGTATTCGTAGCGGTCAGCAGTAACAGTTTCTTCGGGCTCATGAGCTCATAGTACACAACACACTTCGATCCCACCCCAAATGCTTACACAGCATTACTTTTTGGCGATGGACACTCCGCTTTCGTTGGAATTTCTCGAGTGAAGAGAAACCATTTCAGCAGTTTCGTTCAGATGAAGCTTGTCCTCCATGAAAGCATCCGATGGGCTTCAATGCCAGTTTTTTTGTAATCAAACAGCAGGGGAAGGGCCCCCGGGGAAACGGCTTCATCACGCTCCATGACCAATCAGTCTGAGAGCAACAGGATTTTGGGAAAAAACTGATCTGTCTGCCCTTAAGTAGTTAGCCAATACCCTATCTTACAGAACATGACAGGTATCACCAGTGAACCTCTAACATAGTTCGCGCATCGTCCCTTGGAATTCGGCGGCGGAAACGCGGCGGTCTCGCGTCTTAGCAGCATTATAACAACAGCTGTAATCTTCTTTCCTAAAACTTTTCCATTATCACTTACTCCTCTAAGATAGAGTACTGAGAAGAATTTTAAAGTACCTTTCTATCTATAACAAAATGACACCAAATGACAAAAGAGTATGCTCATATTCTAGCAACTACTTTCCGGTTTGTTAAAGCTCTGCTCTGTTGTTTACGGATTCGAATACATATAATCTCTGCTCACAAGGGAAGAATATGTGGTCGCAGTAGCCATTCATAATGAGATGTATAGCGCCATGTTTTCAAGGCTAGCTTTCAAGAGTTTCAAACTCACCCTCCAAATCTGCTAATGATTTCAGAAGTAACGTTAGGGAAGTGTTTTATCTATGTTTTGTTATACAACAGAGTCGCACATGTAAACGAGCGGGGTAGGTTGGCGCCTTCTAGCAATAACTCCCAAGAGTACGCCGACCTGTCGACTATGGAGGTTCGTGCACTCGCTGCATGTGCTAATCTTGTTTCTCATAAATCGCGTCCGAAGCTTTAGCAAAGTGTTTCATCACTCCATATTGACTATATATGCAGATCCTCCCCACAATTTCCCTACCAATTCAGTCTTTTTAAACTAGTGCTACTTCGAAGTTGCTATACCACACAGCTTCAGCCGAAGTTGTCCATATATTAATCTGTAATGCCTCTGCTCTCAGTGCTTGTCCAGCGCATTGCAGCTACTATGACAACGGTTAAGCCTGATTCCAAAAAGTTCGTTTATTCTAAACACTAAACAAATAATATACAGTGTATTACACGCCAAATAGGAGACCAATGTGAGTATACACAAACTTCCGAATGCCAAAAGCATATAAAAGAATTAAAATGAGGAAATGCTAACGAAATTATATAAGAACAAAAATTATGTCCGGGTGAAGCCACCCTTCAAAAGTATAGTCCAGAAATGAACAAAAGTATAACAAACAATTCAATCATAGGAGCGGGAACGATGGCGTTCACGACGGGGAGGAGAGGGTGTACGACGGCTGAAACATCTAAGTGAGTTCCCTGCACTTCTTCCACTGAGACTGAATTAGATAAGTAGTTACCGACTACTACGAGAGGCGTAGCCGTCACGGTATGACTCCCGGCGTTCCGTCCTAAAGCAGGAGGATATGACTGTTCCAAGCAGGAAGAATCAAAGTTGCACGTAAACCATTCTAGTCTTAGTTCTTACCTATATCCACCTGAACCATACCCATAATTCCTTCGACTTCCACGAATCGCTCCCATATATTGGCCTGGTGTTGGAGTATGAGCTCTTTTTGTCAGGGAATAATCGACGCGAATCTAAATAAATTAAAAATTGGAAACGTGAGAGATTACATAGCATTCAGCAGCTATGACGACTACCTTATGCCCATCTATCTCTTGACCGGACAGCTTGTCACGCGCAGCACACGCATCCTCAAGACGTTCAAAGTATACAAATCCAAAACCACGGGAGCGACCAGTAGGATGATCGTAGACCAATTCGACCTTCAAATATGTTGTTAATCTACTGACGCAAGAAGCCTGTAAATCTAGGCATACCTTTTCGATTTCACCAAATTCTCCGAACAGCTCACGTAGATCTTTCTCAGTGGTATAAACGCTCAAGTTGAAACAACCCAGGCACCTGAATTTCAGAGATTAGATGTTACAGTAGAATCACTCAATTAGTCGCCATAAAACAACGTACTTAATAAATATAAAAAATATGGAATTCACAATTTTTCGTTCTCTGGAACGTACAATGAAATGATGATAGCATTATCATTTTGCAAGACCATTTTGCAAAGCACAGAAATTAATTTTCTAAGCCCAAGACGTGAAGGAAAACGTAGTGACTCATTCAGAAACAAAGAAGCAGTCCATACCTGCATGGATCGGGATCATCCCTTCTGGATGCACGACCTCTCCATCTTCCTCCACCCCTATAAGAAAGAACTAAACAATTCGCCTTCAAAATGAATCATATTACATTATAGATGCCGATGATTGATCACTACTATGCGAAAGATGTTCGAGAAATTTCATAAAATTCACGGCCAGCCACAATTGCTATTTTATACTATTACAGTCAGATCAGTATAGCAAGAAAATTGGCACTACCGGAAAGAGTAGTCATTGTCATTTAGACAAAACTACCAAATTCTAGATGGGTGGTAGATCAACATGCTTCGACCACACATCCGAGCAGCCACGAAGTGTGACTGTACTGCGTGCATTTCCCAAGCAAGAAAATCCGACCCAATAGTTAAAATGAACTATGTAAGCAACAAATCCGGCTTATGAGGAGACGATAGCCGAAGTTTCAGAACAGACACAAGAGGGGGCCTACTTCTGATGGGTCAAAGCTCCTCTACTTGAAGACACTTTCAAGACTAATGAAAAATGAGTAGAGATGCGTAACGACCAAGATAAGTTGCGTACTTCAGGAACGCGTATGAAGAAAGTGAAGAAACATCTTGCGAATGTTCGCAACTTAATTTCGAGACAGAAAGTTTGAAGGGGGTGGGTATCTCGTCTAAAGGAATATGAATGCCACAGTCGGCGCGCCGTCAACTGGTAACTGGTGTATGGATTACAATCAGCTTCCTCAAGATTACTGATTGAGAACAATTAAAGCTAAGCAGAATTTTTGGTGTGCACCGTCTCCCCTGCAAACGCCGCTATGTGGCACGTTTATCGGGAAAAAGATCCGCAAACTTTGAAAGAGAATGACAAATGGGTGTATTAAGTATAAGCGATCCGTGACTCGCTTTCGCAGTCACATGCGCAGAACATGCAATATCCAAGCAGCGAAAAAAATCTGTAAAAAACAACACACCTGTCTCCACTGTCTCGTCGACTTCGCGCGTACGAATCTCGACGTCTTGGGCTACGTGAGCGAGAACGTCTTGAATCGCGTCGGTCACTGTAACGCCAATAATTAGTGTATCCACATGAGAGGTAAGACTCATGAAAACTATATTTCATGCTGGCAGGGAGTAGTCATAGCTCGATTTCCAGATAGAACCTCTCTTTTCTAAAGGAGAAGAAGTAAATACTGGCACTTCGATTACAACCACTACCACTTCCAGTCATATTCATATATCACTAATCGACAAGATTAGTTTACTTATAATGGATGAAGATGGTGACGCTACGGGTGAAACCAGATAACATCATACATCAATGAAGACATGAGGGACATTCCACGACAAGAGTAATTTTGCTATATCATGCGTCAGCTATATTTCGACCAGAAAGATTTTACCTTGCTTCCTATTGCAATTCCCGTCAAAACCTGAACCTTCAAGAAGAGTACTTATCACCTCACTAGCTTAGCATTTCGATATCAGAGGCACATTAAATCATTGTACCAACGCTTCTTCTCAATTTGCGCAGTCCTGCTATTCCTATAGTATTACCTGCACAAACCCGATTCACTTCCAACCATAGAACAAAATGTTAGCAGCAATTTTCTGACAGAAGACTAACTGCATTGGAGCATAACAGACAGAGAATACAAAGAGGAAATAGCACATTGTGTGGCGGGACTAATCAAGCATCAGCCATGATTCCCTGTCACGATTTGAGAATACCTCTTCTTCTCATCTTTCTTATCTTACTCTTGGCCCCGTTCCTTTGATAAGGTCAAAATTCGCTGTTCTGCTCAGAATTCCTTCTTTAGATAAAAGAAAAGCAATGAATAGCCGGTCGGCTGCAGTACAAAAACAAGAAACTCACGGTGAACGGCTTCCACTCCTTGATCGCGAACCTGAGCGTGAGGTTCGCCTGCTACGTCGAACCGGTGAGCGAGACCGACTGCGGCCACGTCTATCGCGTGGTGAATAAGACCTCACTGGAGAACGGGAACGAGTACGCGACCTCGACCTTGACAATGTTCGCGATGATGATCTGCCTCGCTAAAGAAAAAAAGTTGAATTTAAATATTGTTTCACTTTCCACACACCTCCAGGGCACGAGGAAAATTCACCATTCAAAACAAGTGGTTCGAGCTATAAAATGATTTTGCTATGTTACCATTTTCACTAATGCTAAGATTATTAGCACAGAAATCCTAAGTGATGGGCGCAGCACTAGACCTTAAATAAATTCGCGATGTGACAAGAAGCGACTAATGTGATCCAGCCATGAACCTTGTTTTCCAATGGTGCATACTCACCACAAAGACGAATCTTCATTTTCTTGTCAACTTGATTTTAGCAGCCGCTGTACATTCTTCTCCTTACTTCATAATTTCATTGATCTTCATGTCTTCATTTTCTTCGCTGCCTCTTCTAACTCGCCAGCCATGAATGTGCTTGAGCTCGTCACGAGACAATCGCATTCACCAATCAACAAAAGCGAAGAATATGACAGATGTTTAGCAGACAAGACCCCGTCCTAATGAATATAAAACCTTTTGCACCAAGACAAAGGTGTTAAAGTAAACAAATGACAGATCACATGCATATTGGGCACTGCACTAAAGCGAGCCTTGGCTGGAACTAAAAAAAATAGGACTGTCAACGAAAGCAAAGGATCGCGCTAACACAGTTATCCCGCATACCAGACTAATCCCTCTACAGTAGCATTCAGTACGAACGCTTGCTAAAAAATGTTCGCTGGTGCGCACTAGAGCAACTTCGTGACTGTTAAGCACCAGAATTATTGAAACATGCAAGCATTCGAGTGGGTGTATGCCACTGTGAGACTTCAGCCGAGCAGGCTCATGCAAACAGCTAAGAAATAAGACGACGAACGATTTCGCATAAGCAACAAGTGAGGAAGAAGCTGTGTGTTGTACTGACTTCAGTTTCCTGACCATTTTCACTATCTTTTGATGAGAAACACCTATCAAAATGATAGGGAAAACAGGTCAAATCAAGAGAGGGAACATTTACTTCACCGTTCTCCACCATCATTAAAATGGTGACTTTTGATGTATCTTACAGAATTAACCCGTACGCCTCAATATTAAATCCTTATTGAGTTCGTGCAGTATAATAGGCCAATATTGTGAGCTAAGTGTAAACAGTTTTCAAAAGCAGAGAGTCGTTTTTAGGAATATAGGTATCAAAATGCTTGTGTGTACACAAGATGTGTTAGTGTACACATTGAATCTTTTTTTTTCACGGCTGCTTATTAGAAAAGGCGGCGGCCAGATCAGGCAAAAACTGAAGACTGGTGGAGGCATTTTAAAAAAGAACAGTGTTACAGTACAGTACAGTGTTAATTGCATTTGCTAAGCTTATTGCGAGCGCTTCCTCGTCTTAGCTGTACAAAAGAAGTGACCAACCCACGAATTGGGCGCTCCCAGTGTTTAGCGACGTGCGTTGAAAACACAGCAGCGCCAGACATACTTGGACAGCGGTGTTCATGTGTTGACAGCTTTGGTCGTTGGCCTGTTGACGGCGCCCACGCCCCGTCCTTTGAGCTGGAGCATGTTGTTTTATAAGCGGTGGATAAATACATCAGCGGCGAAGCGGACGTTCTTAACAGACTTCCGTCGAGCGACTAACGCTGTTAACAGCCGATGCCCAAGCGCTGTCAAATTGTGTATGGCAACGCTGCGCTTTCGACGCATGTCGCTGGACCCTGAAAGCGCCCGTTGAGACTAGCCACCCAATCGAAATGATGGTCACCAGTTCTGTAATTTTACCTATTTAATCAATTAGACTCCAGTCTGTTGCAATAATGCTGACAAGTAATAGGAGGCATGCGAAAGTATGGCTTTTCACATACAATGTAAAAATAAAGCAGCATATTGAAGAGCGAGCAGTGGTGATTTCAGTGAAAGCAATGGAATCTTCTTCACTACTTTCTCGTAAGCACACAAAAGCGGAGGATTGTAGCACAATAATATCGAAGAAGCTGCACTATTTTAAAAAATTGAAAAAAATAAAATGTACTCTTACTACAGTCAATCAAGAGGAAAAAAGGTATACTCCGACCAAGAAGATTAAGCCTTGCCTCCTGTGGTGTCTAGAAGTACCCTAAAAACCCCATCCTTCATAAAAACTACTTCGGTGGGAATTCAGTGGAGGGGGAGGGGGCACACACAAGACAGTGTTAGTATATCATAAAATTAACACGATGCTACGTCTTATTCCGTGTTACACCAAGGGCATGCAATTTTATACTAAGTCTTAAAAGAGAAGAAGCACCCATGTGTTTTCGGCTTTTCGCTCTAGGTAATCATCTCACCCATCCTACACTCCGTAGGTTTCGTTAAAAAATTACATCCCCAGTCTAAAACCGCATGAGAACGCACAGATAACCGGTGCTCCTCTTTCCTTTAATCTCCGATACGGTGCTGGTATAGGTCAAGCACCCAGTAGCACCGTATTAATTTCTTGTTATACTAACACTTTTACTGTGGAAGAGGTGTAGCACAAGATGAAAAAGTAACGTAACCGCAAAATTAATCATAATCTCATGGGTACATCCACCAGTTTACGATTAATTCGAAAATTCTCTGTCATTCTATTGATCATAATTGATTTGCAATGTTTAGGGTACGAGTTCTTAAGGTTAGAATCGTCAGGAGCTATAATAGTCGGTTTAGTTCGAAGCGAAAAAAAGTGAAAACAAATAATTTTAAAAGGTTGAAGCACAGACAGCGGTTCAAATCGTGAGTTAGAGAAGCATTTCGCGACAGAATGGAAGTCTACCTAAGGACGTCGAACACAGAACGGCTCTTCCGCTTAGGTGAAGCAGTGCTTGAATGACCGAGTCAAGATAAACGCCCTGATCGACGCCTTAAATAGAGCAAACCATAGGTGTTGCACAAGCATGCAATGCAGTGCCAAACAAAAACTCAAGTGCAAACAGTGGTTGCAGCAAACAATGAATACACTTACCACTCCGTTGCCATTGCGGATTGGGGAGTAGGAACGAGATCTTGAACGGCTTCTGCTCATAGAACGTGAGCGGGAACGTGGCATCCTGGCAATACCTGAATAGATAAATTTCCCGTAGTGATTTTTTTTGGGCGCTACATGCACAGGAACGATTTTTCCCCGTGGCTTCGAAACCACGAAGTAGTTGCGGGCTTTACCACGTGCATATTACTTGGAAATGAATGCGTGCTCGCAATCTCCATTTCAAAAGCCCTCAAATCTCAACAGTAGGTTAAACACCCGAATCAATCACGATTCATATTGACTATCTGAACGCTTACTTCCCCCGCCCCCCAAATTCTACATGAGTTCCGGGAAAAAAGAAAACCTGGATAACAGCAGACGACACGTAACAAAATAATACACAGCTAATACTACATACAGACTACCACGATGCAAGGATGTCTTAATTTGTGACCAGTGCAATTGCTGGATCACCCTGAACAAGGAAGCAGAAAATCAAAGAACAATGAGCGTGTCGGATCGAGGGCAAATGCAGAATTCATACGAAAACGCGAAAATAGGATAGATCAGACACAAAAGCTTTCCCAAGTGGGACAATCTATTCAAGCACTGTTGAAGGATTGAATGAGATGATACAAAACAAAGTAACTTATCATCTCGCCACGCTGGCACTGAAACACGTTTTATAATGTTGGTAGAAAAAAGTTCACTGCAATACCTTCACGGATTAAACCGCAACTGCACAATGAGAACATTTTTACAGCATGAAATGTTTATACAATTGCAAGGCCCACGCCCGCGTGTCCTCTGATAGTCCAGTGTCAATGAATATCATTCTAAAACAACAGCCCTTTAAACTACTTGATCTTCTTCGCAGAATTGACTCGGAGCAGTGCCTTCATTTCTGCTGCTTTTTTAGCATCATCTTCCTTCTTCTTTTTCCGCTCTTTCTTCAGAATCTTGTAATTCAGCGCTTTTCCTTTTGGTGCTTTCCCTCCCAACGACATCTGAAAGAAAAAACTACATTGAGCTGGCAATAATACACAAGCAAAGAGCTACAATAATTTAGCGATCCCTGGTTGACAGATACGCTGTCAAGTGCATCACCTTGGATACAATTGTATGAGATTAAATTCATGGCATTGTGAAACCTTTTTAGTTGGAAGTATAAGGCAGCATATTAGAAATGCATTAGACCCGTTAGTTCTCAGCCACGTTAATACAAAAGCAAAGTTCCCGCAAATAGAACAATTAGAGAGGCTTCTGCCTAAACTCTATAGTTCAACATCATTGCTCATAATCATACAACGAATCTGAGCCACTTAAATCCAATATTCTTTTTTCTATTCAAATTGAAGATGATAACTGTTGCACGGTTACCTAAGTTTTAAATGAAATTTATATGAATCGTAGCCTGATGAGTAACCTGAGAAATTTGTCGGATCCCTCCATTCCTGGATACTTTCATGACACCAACTCAAAGGGTTCTCTCAAACCACAAGAACGTCTCCCCGAAACGACGAGAAAACTCACAACAAGGCGTTCTCGGGCGGCATTGCGATCTTGAATATTGCCTTCTCGTGACAACAGTTGCTCCACCTGAAACAACTTTTACAGTTCATATACCAATGTTATTACATTACTGACGACACATCTATTCCAGCTATTGCTATGAAATCCTTCGATATAGATTTCAACGAATAGGTCTGATCATGTCTTCAAACCCTAAGAGAGGTGACAGCTTACAGGCAAAGTGCGCTATAGGTTGCTCACCGAAATAACACCTGCAGTTCTCTTACAATGCAACCCTATTTCCACGAAAGGAGAGGGAGCTGAAGCAAAGTGCATCTAGTGTAAAAAGAAACGCCTGCAGGACAAGGCAGTGAACCACTATTACAATGAAATTGCCCTTTTGCACTAAATTTCACATTGATGAGATACCTGTACGTGTATCGCACCTGAGTACACCCCCTACTGAACTTGTAATATAAATAGGAAACATGTGATCTTCGAGCTAAATGGATCCCGAGAAATCTCACCGTCGCACATAGAAATGTGATGTTCCAAGGCAATTGTGCTGTTGTATAATACACGAGGCATCCCGCCATTAAACGAAAAATATGGAGACGCTCTTTTTTTAAAGCCAATCAGTAATAAAGCTCTAGGCGTTCTTTAAATTCTCTCCACAAGCTGATGGTAAAACGTCTAACGACTCTGTCATGAATTGATGTCCGGGCACGGGCAGCATCACTACCTCAATTGTCTTCGTCTTGGGCAACTATTCGTATTGGGTATTGGTGCAATTAACGTGTCTTGCTGGGATCCCATGGTCGGAAGTTTGTACTGATTAAGATTTGGTCTCCGCAAACATGACAAGCAACAACCTAGAGGTTCGAACGCTTTCAAGTCTGAGAATGAAGACAATTAAAAAAAAATGTTCAGCGCAGATGTGTTGGTCCCATACAGATATCGTCGTGAATCGCAAGTGAGCTAACTTCAACGAATATCACCGTACGATTTGAAACACATGTGCGAACAGTATCCGCTACATGCACTATTTTCATCAATCGACAGTATCGGTAAGAATCATTCAAGGCTCCAGTTGACTAGCCATCTTTTTCAGTTGCGAAAAAGTCGGTTCGCTGGTACACCAATAAGAGAAGGATTAAATCCTTCATGGATAGGTTTTGTCAAGACAAAGGGCAAGAGATTAAGACTGCGTAAGCGTAAGCGATAATGGTGCGCGCTCCTTGCCGAATTTATAGTACACGCGTAATTGGGGGCACTCAGAAAATTTGCGGTCATAAGTGCATCGTCCGCATTGAAAAAGGACTGAAAGGTCAACAGAGCATTCTTTGTAATTTGTAACAGTAAAGAGTGCGACGTGAGCCGAGCAGTCAGACTGGTATCTCGATCCATTCTTACCGGTGCTACCTTCAATTCAATCATGATTCAGCTCGCAAGAAATATAATATACAACATACTGCCATTTCTTTAGCATCATTCCCTAAGCTCACAAACAATTTTGAAGCACAATGAAACAAAAGTTGGAACAAATTTACAGTACCTCAAATGTGACGTGCTTTACATTCGGTTCCTTCGGCACTCTATTCAACGAACTCTTTTTTTTCAAAATCTTCGGCGCAAACCGTGGCTTCTTTCTGATGACACAGGGCACCACTTGAACATCATCTGCTGAAGTCGGTTTGTACGAGATAGTATCAGCGCTCTGAAAACTTCATTCTTCAGTACCTACAAAACCAATAAGTAAATGTCCTCCAAACTTTCAGTCACAGGTGCCATATACGGGCCGTAGTAAGCAGTGTAATCCCAGATACAAAATCGATTGAAGTTGCAAAATTTGATATTTCATTAACTTTGATAGCATGTTATGCGAATGACAGAAAACACTGAAGTTATTCCTGCGCTTTTTTTGTGATTCCGACAAAGAGAAGCCTCGGTCTGATGAAAAGATGGTTCAAACCTTCATCCCACCAATCAGGAATTATCATTCTGGATCTTTCGCGAAAACCTCTGATTAGAACCGTCAAAAGTAAGAAACAGCCAGCCACTTATATGGCTTATATAATTCACGAAGATCTTTTGCGAGATTCGGTGGAGGCATAAGTCGTCAAGCGCCTATACGTAGAAAAAGAGGAATAGCCTATGCATTCAATGTGCTCTCAAAATCAGCTCAAACATTTGAACGTCAGACTTTTGTCCTGAAATCAGGACCAACCGGCGTAAAGACATTCTAACGCAGCAATGGGATGTATGGAATTACAGGAGAAAACCTTACTAGCAATACGTTGGTGTGAAGTGTTCAATTACCCCAGCACGAACCTTACACAAAATTCCCAGAAACGGTAAAACGAAAATAAAACGTACCGTCGCTTTCTTCGATGTTAATCCTTCCACCAATTCATTCAATGTTTGGGACCCTCCAAAAGGTGAGACTGCAAAGAGATCCTGTTCACAGCCCCAGCTGTCATCCATCATTCGACAACAACATAAGAAGATGAAAGAGAACCTAAATAAAAGTGATCTATTAACATTATGAACACAATGTAGCTCGAAATAGTTTTAACTGTTTGAATGTAATTACAACAGCCATAAAAAGGACCGGGCACAACTAAATGGCTTAGGGAAGCATTATCAAGCATCTCAGAAACCTTAACTATAAAATGAAAGATATGAAGAAAACTCGAAGCTGGGAAGGATGTGTGACGCAACACTTTGCCTAAAAATAGGATAAAACCGGCAAGAATTCAGTAAATCTTATCTCAAACATTATTTGCTTTAACTAATCAGTAAACAATAACATTCGGTGGAATTATTATATAAAGGAGTCAACAACCCAGTTCACAGACTGGCCTCCTGATCAGTACCGTTCATTACTTACCCGTGGCGTCGTGGGGACCAGAACTTGGTCTCTATCCAAGCAGTAGTGCAGTGATCAGACAGCCATCGAATACAACCTGAAAACGCTTGATGATCAACTGGTCAGAAGCCTATAAAAACCAAGTAGGAAGCTTCGCATCGTTGAGTTTAGGCCATCTGAAGTTCAACGTTAAAGGACGAGCGAGTGCAGCGTTCCACGCAAGACCTACATCGGCAATCGATTCAGCGCGGCACTTTCGCATGCCAATGTGGGTGGTGGTTCGGGAACTACGACCTATGGGATAGACAGCTGGTGTCCCATACGAAAGGAATAAGGAGCTAAGTGATCTTGAATGGAATACCCTCTCTTCATGGGGATGACCGATGCAACTATTTGTTTGTAAAGTCGTTCCTACTTGGCCGGACTTCCCCATTTTCTTAGTACACTTTGGAAACGATTTACAGCTACAACTTACGAGAGCACTTAGTGAAATATTACTTCTAAATATGGTAAGGTTTGAAAAAATTCAAAAAAAAAACGATGGAAAGTGGAAAAACCGAGTTGCCACACTGCACTCTGTCTAGAAACGGTTTAACAAAACGAGAAACTTACGCTCAATAGGGTTGATGCCTCAGAATCGTATTCAAGTGTTGGGAGTATTTGCTGGGGTCCATTCCCACCTACTGCAGGAAGATCCCCACATCTGAGAGCTAAATAGTGGAAAACAATTGATTGCTGAACAACAAGAGCATTTGCATGGTATGCTAATAGAGGATGAAAGAAAGAATAAATCGCTGAGTGAAAGAAAATAAGAAAAAAGGATGAACGAACAAAAAGAAGAAAGAAAAGAAAAGAAGGGAAGAAGACCTGCAGATGAATGAGTTCCTCCCTACGGTTTGAATAGCGTAATCGCCGTTTGTGCTCGCCCGCACAGGTGGGCGGTCGTTTGGCGCGGCCTTTCGCAGCGCCAGCGCCGTTAGGGCGCAAGTACTTCAACTGCACTGCCACTTAGGCGCCGCCCCCAAAACGCGGTTCTTCGTCCAGTAACTCGTCTAAGCCATTCAGCCTCTTAATTTATGGCTGGCAATAGGCCTTATTTGAAGTTATTTCAGTTAGGGGAGGGGCGACTCCGATCAAGCGTGAAAACTCCGAGGTCACTAGGAGAGATCAAGAAAAGCAAGGAAAAGATCAGGGGAAAGCCGAAATACAGAAATCAGAGTTCATATTGTACAGCGGAAATAGGGACCATCCTGTAATAGCACCATACTTCCCTCTTATGTACTCGTCTCTACCTCAATCTTCTTTGTAGTGATACTTTTTCTTATTCCTTGCTAATAGGCAAAATGAGACCCTACTTTCTAGCTTCTTGCTTCTTTTTTTCCTGTGTGATTAATGGGCACACCCTTGAGGTGTTTTTCAAGAGATAAATATACTAATAAACCGAGAAAAAAGTGGATTTATTTAATTATTTATTTACCAGGCGGCTACGCACGCTCTCGCGCGCGCTAGGGGCTCTAGCCATGAGAGACGGAGCCACATGAGCTGATTTTCATTATAGATATTTATCGGATTTATGAGTTTCCGCTCAAACCTCGCCTCCTGCGGGCGGAGTCTGGTCCTGCAACCCACCATAAGTGTTCCCATCCTGTCGCCCGTACTCCTACCAAGTTTGAACTTTCTAGGTCCATGGGGACAGGAGTTACGAATTTTCGCACAAACCCCGCCCCTTGTGGGCGGAGTCTGGTTCTACCACCCACCATAAGTTTCCCCGTCGCGGTGTCTGTACCCCTACCAAGATTGAACTTTCTAGGTCCACTGAGACAGAATTATGAATTTTCACCCAGACCCCGCCCCTTGTGGGCGGAGTTCGATTTCGGCACCCACCATAGGTGTTCCCATCCTGTCGCCTGTACTCCTACCAAGTTTGAACTTTCTAGGTCCATGGGGACAGGAGTTACGAATTTTCGCACAAACCCCGCCCCTTGTGGGCGGAGTCTGGTTCTACCACCCACCATAAG